GGACTGGGACAAATGATGGATATGATGGCTCCAGTGGGCTGATGTCTCCCTGAAAATCATCCATGTTTTCAGGGAGGGGAGTGTAGTTCTTGAGACGTTGTTTTGGTTTGGCGTCTGTGCTGCCATGACCTTGTTTTCCATACTGTGACTATGTTGGTTCTTGCGGGCTGTTCTATGTTGGTTTAGCAATGTTTAGCAGCTATCGGTGGGAATTGATTTGGTTTGGACGCGGTTGGTTGGACTTTTGGAAGCTTTGATGGAAGCTTCAAGGGTGCCTTTGTGGGAGCCATGCGAACAAATCCGTTAAAACCCAACTCAGTGACCAAGAAAGTTGGAAGGGGGCACCTAGGTGCTTGATTGTTAGGCTCGGAGCTGAGTCAACCCGGATGTGTTCATTTGACGCCGGGCGCTGGACAAGCCAGTAGAATTTCTGTCGGCATGTGGTCGACGTCAGTGCGCCTGGGGTGCATCAGGTGAGCCTGAGATTGATAGTTGCACAACAAGGTTTTTGACCCCCATGACATGAATGAGGTACTCGAATAAATGGGAAAAAGAACAGCAGCAGCTGTAGAATCACCCAAAGCAATTCAGGCCCAGCTGGAGCCTAAAAGCGGCTCAGGTGTGGATGCATCCTTTTGCTATTTCCTCGTGGAGCGCGACTTCCACACCGGCCAAGCACTCCGCCGCTGGCGCCACGGCGGCCGTTCGAGAAAGGTGGGTGCAGAAAGCCCGGCACTGGCGGCGGCTCCTGCTGCCTGGCACGGAAGATGTACACTGACACTGCATTCAGAGTAGATGGATGTAGATTGTACAAACACCACGATATGTTTTGGATTTTGGGGGGATGGTGGCCATATAAAAAAGAATAAACGTTTTGGGGATTGATTGTGCCATCTACTCTAAAACACTATAGGGAAACTGGCTCCACTACACGTGGTGTATCTTGGTGTTTGATACATTTTTCCCGGTTCCGGTGGCGCCGAGCTCGAACGAGGGCCCAGCACACCGTTGTGCACCCCCGTGACTCCCTGAGGACGGGGCCGAAGAAATGAAGGTCACCGCCCACAAAGGCACACGGTTCTACCTCCGGGCGGCAGAGAACATGCTCAAAGGCGCCCGGTGAACCCGGTGAACGGGTGGGAGTGTAGCACTGACTGGATGGATGCTACAAGAGGGCAGGAGGGGTACGGACGACCATTGTGATAGTAGTGGTCGTTGTGGACGACGACGACGACGACGACTGCCAGTACCACCACCACGACCACTACTGCTGCTGTTACTAGAATAATACTGGTAGAGTATGAATGTGTGGTCAAGCTGGTTTTAGCTCTAACATGCTCAAACCTTTCAGTTGTTCGGTCATTTGCACTGCTTCACTGTGCCTCACTCAGCTTAGGCGCTGGTTGAGTGGATTCACAGATGTGTAAATTTGGAGGTCAAGGGGAGGAAGGTGTTCAAACACATCCAGAAGACGCACCCAATGTCCCATTGCTTTTTTCGACTTTGGATGCAAGATGATGAAAGGTTGCCATATTATGTTTTAACAGCAGTCCTGACACAAAAACCGACACATCCTCTACAGCCTCTACGTCACATGCCTCGCATGTCCAAGCAAACCTGGATAAGCAGAAGACATGAAAGGAGTTTCTCCCATGTATGTGCTTCGAGGGCATCCCCATTTCTTCCGGTCTCGCTGGGATCCATTCGCCTGCAGAGGCATTGCAGTCACCAAGGATGGCGAGGCGGTTCGCACATGCTCGCGCGTGCGCGCGCGCGCGAAACGCCAGGCGAAGATGTTCAGTTTCACCAACCTGTCGCCCAAGAGATGGATGTTTGAACCCTCCATCCAGTACCACCAGCAAACAGTTGGGAATGGGTGCAAACCTGCAGCCGTGGTTCACCATGTAGCGAATGACCTCCCAGCTAGCTCAATGAAGGTGTCCTGGTTTTGACCCACTGCCAGTTAGTCGATGCCAACATGAGACCGCACTGCAAGCAGTTCAAGCCTTGGTCTCATGCAAAGGCACCTGTTTGCTGTAGAAAAATGTAGGATGCGCGAGAATGTGCCAGGTCGTCGCCCTCCGATGTTGGTGTTGTTTTTGTTCATTGACTTATCGCCTTCATCACATGACCTGCGAAGAATGGGAATGCCCCAGAACGCCTCCCCGTTCACCAAGCCGTGGGAATGAGACTGAATCTGTTTGTCTTCATGCCAGGCTTAAAGATGCCTAGCACTTCCAACGGGTGCCCAATGGAGACCTGCAAGTAGGGTAGGGTAGTCTATTGGACACCCATTGGATGATCCTGGTGTGATCGTCTTCGTCCCCAACCTGATCTAGCGACATTAGCGACATTCAATAGCTGCTATTGCAGAATGGCACCCTCTGGTTACATACCGGTCGTATATCGGTTAAACCCTTGCAAGTTGCGTTGTTTTCTCCAAGAAAGCACCTCGACGGATCCCACCAGTGCAGAAGGCAAATCAGAGTTGTTTCCTCGATTTTGGAACCTCCAGCACGCCAAGTAAGTGCCGGGAGGTCAAGAAAGCGGTCGAGAATCTGCGAGTCACGGCGCTGGGGAAAGCCATCGACATCGCCGTCGCGGTCGCGGTGCTTGGGTGGAAAAGCACAACATGGCCCCTCCCCCGACGAAATGAATCCATGGGTTATGTGGATGACCATGGCCCCCGAGTTCGGATGACCATAAAAACAATGTGAAGAACAAACAGGTGGTGGTGCCATCCACTTAGATGGATCCTTCCACCAAGTGTAGGGTGGCTGGAAGAGGTCCTGGCACTCCAAAAAAGCTGGTCAGCTAAAAGGAGATGTTGGGAGCTTGACCTTGTGGGTTTGGAGCAAGTCCTGATGATGACTGTGATTGAAGAAAACCCTCCAACCAGAATGGTTTTAGACACAATGTTTTACATCTCCAATGGCAGCTAATGGGAGCATCAACTGTCTACATGAGCAAGCCAAGAAATGGCCTTTCAGATCTTTCAGGTCACTTCACCTTCACCTTCGTCGCCAGCACCTCGCCAGCCTTCAGGTGTCGATTCAACAAAGTGGATTGGCCAAGATCACGCGTGTTCAGACGTCCTACGTCAGCATGGAGGCTGGCGGGTGGCCAGGCCGTTTGGTTTGCAACGCTCAACTACAGCAGGATGCATTTGGAGCACCTACTGGATCGTATGCCGCTGATGAATGTTTGTAGGAGTTGCAATTGTATGGATAAAGCGTTCTGGTTTGAACACGGACATCCCAACGATTTCCCAAACATCCCTGCTGCTCCAGAAACTCATGCGTGAAACCCACGTTCCCGGTGTGTTATTTTTGGGGGCGCATATGATTGTGCCTTTTGTTGGGGAGGGCTTCCTCACCCGGCGCAGCCGGCGCATTTCTCCAAGGCGTCGAACGTTCCGCAGATCCTCGTCGATGTGGCAAAGACCTGAGCGAGCGCGGCGAAGCCGCGACTCCCGCGGTGGATCGGAACATCGCCAAAGAGCATGAGGAAGATGTAAAAGAGGTGCTTCTTTTGGGGGGCGCGGAATCATTTGCAGGTAGTTTGTGGGGGAGGGGGGGCAGAGCTGCAAGGAAACATCAAACCCAGATGGGTTGAGGTATTGCGCATGGTCGGTGTGAAAGTTTATGTTGCTTTGTGTTTTTTAAAGATTTGCTCAGGGTTCTGTGGACGGAGAGGGCCTTTTGCACTCGAGGCCGAGGTGCTGCAGTCTTTAGAAAGTTGCTTTGCCAGGAGATTGTGTGAATTATATAGGTGTAGCTGGGACTGAAGGATCGTTCCAACTCATTCGAATCCAACCCTTAGAAAGGTGACAGTTTTAATCGTTTTAGCCATTTTTAGGGCACCCCGTCCAACTCATTCAGAGGTCCCTAGCAGCACGTTCCTGAGAATTGGCTTGTTTTTGGGATCCACGTACCACCTACCTCACCAGACACACACACACACACACACGCGCTTTACACACACGCGCAAGCGCTTGGCACTCAGGCCGACAGGCTGGACGGGAGGTCGATGGAGGGAGTGGGTAGAGTGGGAAGATGAGCTTTTTGAGGGGGATGTTTGCGGGAGTAGAGGCCACCTGGAAAGGCTGTGGGTTGATGCAGAATGTGGTGCATGTTATGCATGTTACTGTGAGTTGATGCAGGTATTGACTTTTCTTCTTGGACCAGGGCAGCAAGACTTTTCTTCTTAAGTGAATGTGTTGTGGCTTGCACTTGGGCGTTGAGCACCACAACACATCATAGCACCAAATCTTCCAGCGGAGAGTGGTAGTGGCGTGTGCCTTAGGCTGTTGTTTGCGTGTCCTTTTGCGACGGGGGGTTGTTTTCGTGGGTCGCAAGCAAACCCCCTTTCTCAAACCAAAGCATGGTTCATCAATCTCCCTGCCTCCCGGTCAGCGAGGATGAAAAGAAATCCCAGACACTGCATGTATGCATTGCATATTTCTAATATATGTTCTATAGGGTCTAAAAAGATAAGCATTCCATACGACAGAATGTATGCCATAATATTTGCCTATTGGCGTGGTTTGGGGGGTCAATGTAGGCATAGTAGGCATATATGGCATACATGGAGTGTTTGGGAATGGGCACAGGTATCCACCATTGCAGGCTTGACAGTAGTTCTTCGGACGACCTTTCTGCGTATGGGTCGCTTTGCTTTCGGTCAGGAGCGCGATCAACGAGAACGCAGTCGTGGAAGGGAGGCAGGAGCATCCGGGTGGTAGTCCTGGTGAAACCTGTTGCACTGCCAAAAGTCACTCTTGACTCTTTGCAAAGCCAACATGGAGTCGGGGTCATTCCGACAAACATGGAATTGGACAATGGTCTCTCCAGGGGCGCTTTTGCCGTGATGGTTGAAGGGTCGATTCGTAGTCAATTGCCCCAAGTTCGTTGGTGGGAGCAAGTGGTGTTGGGTCAATCATTTGGGATTGGTCCAGCCATTATAGTGGATTGAGAGGACCAATGGCACAGACCCCAAGTTCGGTGGTTTATATGAACCCCCATGTAAAAGACATCGGTTTCGGTCTGTGCCATCTACTCTGAAACCACTGTATTCCATTTCTGACATTTCTGATGATCAGTGGCTCGGAGCCGAGCGGACCCGACCCAGGATCGACGGAGGAGGAGCTCGGAGGAGCACGGAAGAGTGCCGCGTTTCGGCCTACCCGGTAGAGCGTTTTAACGTGGACAACGGTGTCTTTAACCTGTTGTCCTGCCTTGAGAAAAATTGATAACGAGTCTTTGAGCGTCGTTAACATTTTTGGGGGGGATTGGTTTTCCCATGAAGCATGAACAGATGGCGAAAGGTTAACCGGTTAACCTTGATTTTCAATATGGCTCGGGGGTCAGAAGAGCGTCCACATCAATCCGACCTTCACGAGAATTATGTTGCCAAGAGGGCGCCCCACCCACCCACCCACCCAACCCCCGCGACTGACACTCACGATTGGGTCGTTTTGTCTGAGGTGGGGCACTAGCAATGAGGAACATCTGTAAATGAATATGGGCGTCCATGTAAACCATTTTGGGGATTGTGCTATCTACTCCGAAAACACTGTTCACGAAAGGTAGCCCTTTAGGGGATACCTTGAGTTTGTCTTGCGAAGCAAGTGTTGGGACGTCCGGGTCTAATAATTGATCGCTCAATTCAGACCCCCCCCCCCTCCCCCCCTCTAAAATCAATTCTCTCCTGGAGAACGTCTTCGTAAGCCTCTCATGATTTCAGGATAGTTGAAACCCTCTTGAACATTCAGAAAGAGTGAATATGAAATTCTAATCACGAAAGGTGTTCCCCGAGGGGATACATACCTAGAGTTTGTTTTGTGAAGCACGTCAATTCTCTCCTGGGGAGCGTCTTCGTGAGCCTCTTATGGTTTCAGGATAGTTCAAATCCTATGATGTTCCGATTCAATGCTCACCGATGATCTGAGCCATGGGGCACGTTTGTTTTCCTAAGAATTTTTTTGAACATTTCGAGAGCACATGTTTGAACATATAAAGCATATGAACATACATTTACGAAAGGTCGCCTCCGAGGGGATAAATCACCATGTCGAACATTGCATTTTTCTTCCCGCCTCTCGCGTTCTCTTCTCTTCCCGCT